CTCCCCCAGCCCTTTATAGGAACTCTGCCCCAGGTCACTCTCAGACCTACGATAACCTCGTGGCTCCTTTCTCAAAACGACCCACTGTTGGTGACTGTGTGTGCAGTATATCAGTGTGAGGGTGTGTGCATTGGTATGTATTGTGCATATGTTACCATTTCGTATGGTGACATCGGTCTTCCACAGACAGGCTCTACCAGGGAGGACGACACTATGCCCAGCACATTTGCTGCTGCATTTTCAACACAGTTCTGAGAAACCACCCTTGTTCAAAACATATTCTTGTTCCATTTTCTGTTCTTTAATTTGAATAAGGTTGAACTCTTCATATTTTTAAAGCTAATTTTTCTCTAGTGAACTTCTTGGTGTGTAAGAGAACTTTGTATATAAATCAAACAAACCTTTATCTCATGTTTTTATTTTTATATCTTTCTATACATAAACATTTGGTTCTTATGTAGTTAAATTGAACAGTCTTGGAATCCTGGGACCCGTATTCTCCTTAGAAAAGCTTATGTTCATATTTCAAGATGATTAAAAAAATTCTATTTGTTACTTTTTACATTTAACTCTGTTTGAACCATATGAAATTTACTATTCTGTAAAAGCATAAATTATAAATCTAAGGTTATGCTTTTTTCAGATATTTTGTCAATGCAATAATTATCTCTGGAATAAAGGTAAAGGAGGGAGGGGGGAGGAAGGGAGAATGAGATAGAAACTGACAGAGAGAGAAAGAGGAAGAGGAGGAAGAGGAGGAAGAAAGAGAGAGAACAGCTTAGAGAAATGCCAGGGTGAAAAATGCCTTATGTCTCTTGGCTGGGGCAAGATCTGGAGGCGGGAGAAAAGAGGTTAGAATGACTGGTAGTGAATTTAATAAGGGTCAGAGACTGTCAGCGACAAAAAGAAAATGTCCTCCACAGCTTATTTACGCGGGATGAACCTGACCCCCCGACAGACTGTGTGACTGGCTCGGGTCACACAGTAATTTACTAGGGACTGCAACTCCGAGCTCAGCCTTCCCATCAGGAAAGCAGAGACAGCTGCTTTCAGCAGGGACTGATGCAAAGGGGTAGAGGGGTGGCCGGAGGGACCTGTAATGATCCTACCAACTCTGAGGTTCTAAGACTCCAAAATACAGTTTTGAAGATCCTTCTGCCCACGAAGTTCTCATAATCAAAGACAAAACTTCGGAGTTGAATGAAGTGCATACTGGCACATAGCAGGGGCTCAGTGACTACAGTATCAATGAATGAGGACTGTCCTTATCAACGACTGTCATTCAGCGGTCCTCTTTGGATATGATGCGTGCTTATTCCTTGAGCTTGAGTGAGCAGCTTATGACAATCTCACTGTCTAGGACGGTTGGGCAGGTGCCAAGGGGAGTGAGCCCCATGGGGGGGGCAGCAGAGGGAACCCCACAGCTGGAGACCCTGAAGCATCAGGCTCTCCTCCAGCCTATGACATTGGGACATGTGGCCCAAGAGGCTAGTGGGCAGGTAGAATAATGGTCCCCCAAAGCAGTCCATGCCTGGCCCCTGGGAATTTGTTGTCTTACATGGCAACAAAGACTTTGCAGATGAGATTAAATTAAGGATCTTGAGACAGGGAGATTATCCTGGATGATCCAGGTGGGCTGCTTCAAAACCCAGGGCTCCATAGAAGTGGAAAGCCTATCCCCGCTAAGGTCAGAGGCAGAGGAAGATGTGATGATGGGAGAAGGGTCAGCGAGGTGCAAGGTGTTGCTGGCTTTGGAGGTGGAGGAAGGGAACCTCAAGCCAAAGAGTGTGGGCAGCCTGTGGCCCCGGGACAAAGCAAGGAGCCCCCGGAAAGGGGCGCAGCCCTGACAGCTCTGTGATTCTCACCCACTCAGGCCTGTGTCAACCTCGGACCTAGAGAGTTTGCAAGATAATAAATCTGTAGTGTCTGAGCCACCAAATGTGTGGCGGTTTGCTACAGAAGCAAGAGAACACTCCTGCAGTCATGGGAGCCCACAGGCCAGCTGCACGCTTGTCTCTCGGTTCTCAAGTCGTCCCGCCTCCAGCCCTGCTTTGAACAGCCATCCTGTCGGACTGCCTGTGCTTCCTAGTAGCAATATGCTGCTTTCTGCCACTATCCCCCATTTCTGTCCAGAATGACCTAAAATCTTCTTGGTTTCCATGGCTCTGTCCTGAAAGCTCAGCTCCAGATTCAGGCCCTACAGAAAGATTGCCTGGCCAGCCCCGTCCCGCCCTTGTGGGTCTTAAACTAGTGACCCTTGTGCACTGTCTTCCCAGAAGGTTTTCACTTTGTCATTCTTTCTGTCTGAGGGTGTGGGTGGGGCTAGGTGGGTGGGGCTAAGTGGGTGGCATCCATAAAGACTGAGCTCCGAGAGAAAGAACTGTGACTCAGAGCCGCCGGCGAGCCCAGTCCCCTGCCACCTAGCCTTCGCCCTCATCCCCAGGGCGTGCATCTTCTCACAGGGGCCAGAGACAAGCCCTTGCATCTGGCCGGTTCCCAACATGGGTCTATCAGGGGCCCTATCTCTGATCGGAAGATGTCTCCTCGTAAGCTTACCGCTTCAGTCCCCCGACTTCTACAGATGATGCTGGACTATTCAGACAAGCAGGTGCTGTGGACCAGAAGCCCCATCTCCTGTGTCGCAGATCTCAAAACCCTGCATCTGGCAGGGAGACAAACATGGAATGGAAACCCTGGATCTAACCCTGGCCATGCACCCCGGCTGCCATGACCTTCAGCCAGCTGGCAAATTCCTTTGCGCGCTTCTCATTTGTCCCCAGCAATTTTAGGAGGAAGGAGAGGGCCAGCAGGCAGGCACTGCCATGGGACCAATCCTAGGCCGTGAGCCACTTAGGTGTATCCAGGTCTCTATCCCTTTTTTTTTCATTCAGAACCTTTTCTCAAATGCTATTGCCTCAGAACAGACTTCTCATTAATTTAAGGGGCAACATCAGTGTCTCCTAACCCCTGGAGGGCCCCTTGCTTCCTCATTGTTCCCATGGAGATCACTTGGCTGGAGTCTAAGTTCCCATCCAGCACAGGCTCAGCTCTAAACCTCATCGAGAAACCAAGGGCCCGGGGACACAGGAGACGGGGAGAACCAAGGACGCTCATCCTTGGGAAAGAAGGGACAGAAACAGCCCACGTTCCCCTCTGGTCTCCAAAAGGGCTTTTGCCCACGTTCCAGCCCCCAGACTTGGTGACACAGGGTAAGCCTTTATTCACGGTGTCAGCATAAGGGTTGGAGACGTCGTTGCTTGCAGAGCCACCCCGCCCCCCAGAAGTGCCACCCCGTTCCAGCTGCTCAGAAGCCCCGGTCCACCCCTGGCAGCTGCAACACTCTCACCAACAGCAACGGGCGGCATATCTCATGTCACTCCCGTCACAGGGTGGACCCATTGGGCAGGCATCTCTAGACAGGAGTTTCTTAATGTGAGCGGCTCCAGAAGAAGACCTGCTTAGCAGCTAAGGTAAGTGGCTTAGGGTTGACCTGGGACAGGGCAGCCTCCTGTGCGGCACAGATGTGAGGGCGGGGCTTGAATTTAACCAGGGCTGGGCGCAGACTTGACACCTGTTGTGAAGGTTTGTCAGTGGGGTGGGTACAATGCGACAGAGGCACAGATGCCATTGCTGGAGGTCAGGACCAGCCTCAGAGGCAGCCTTTATGGGCCAGAGAGAAGGCCAGAGTACATCTACACATAGTGTTGATTTTCTTTGTCAATGGGAAGTTCTAAAAGTATCGTTTTAGCGACCTAACATTCCAGGGAATGGCATAAAGCTGTGGAAATATTGACACACACACACACACTTCACATGCATGTTGGCCCTAAAGAGGGTGGAGAGGTGATGGGCCGGAAAATGTGAGTGTGCTGGCAGCTGTACCATGAGGACAATGACGACAGCTGTTTGCTGAGCACATTGCATGTGCTGTCACCGTGCTAAGTGGTTCACTCGTTTAATCTTTGCAGCGGCCCCAGAAGCTAGTGCTGTTATTAGCTCCATTGGGTAGCAGAGTAAATGAGGCTCAGACAGGGGAGTAACAGAGAGGAGCAGACTTAGATTCCACACCAAGCAAGTGTCGGACCGGAATCCAAGCACAGGTCTGAGGCCGCGCCCCCAACCACCATGTGAGGGAGAGGGGAGTCGGAAAGTTTCAGGGGACACTCTGCAAGAGCAAAGCAGCACCACTGGGTGACCGCCCGGGACCTTCTGGTTGCTGGCCCAGCGGCTGCCTGGTCCTGAGGCCTATCTGTGACCCCTGTGTCCCTTCTGCTCTCTACCTTTGCAAATAATACCAGAAGACCTCCTTACAAAAGCTGATTTATCGACTCAGAACTCTGACTTCCCATTGATTGCATGATCACAGCTGGGGCACCGTGGATGAGTGAGGGTCCTCGGCAGAAGGACAGTCCAGAAAGACCGGAAGGGACCCTTTAAAGGGGGTCTCGGTGCACAGCCTCTGGGCCATGACACAGACCCCGCCCACACCAACACTCGGGGGCTTCTGAGTGACTCCCACTAACGCTCTCTCTTTCCTTCTGGGTTCCCTCCCCTCCCCATCTTTTTCTTTTGGCTTTCCCTCACACAGTGGGTCTTACTTCTGTTGCTCTTGTTTCCTCCTTGCCTTCTCCCTACATGTCCATGTCTGTTGCTATGTTGTCTCCCTTAATCTGCTCCTCTCTACTGTCCTCTCTCCTTGTCAATGGCTGTCCATGCTCTCACTTCTGTGAATCCCCGACTCTCTCTCCCATGATTCTCCTCTCCTCTTGTTGCCATCTTTGCCTTCCTCCCTCTGCCCTTCTGTTCATCACTGACCACCCACTTGCCTTTTCTCCCTGCTCCCTTTCTCTGTCTCTGTCTTTGTTTCTGAGTCAATGATTCTCTGTACGTATATGTGTATGTATGTATGTCTGTCTGTCTATCCATCATCTATGCCTGTATCTCTCTCTCTCTGCTGCTCCATCTTATTTCCTTTCCATGCAGGACCCGACCCCTGCATCATGGCAAATTGGAGTCACCCTTCTGAATTTGTCCTCTTGGGCTTCTCATCTTTTGGTGAGCTGCAGGTTCTGCTGTATGGGCCCTTCCTCACACTTTATCTTCTTGCCTTCGTGGGAAACACCATCATCATCACCATGGTCATAGCTGATGCCCACCTCCGGACTCCCATGTACTTCTTCCTGGGCAATTTCTCCCTGCTAGAGATCTTGGTGACCATGACCACCATGCCCAGGATGCTCTCAGACCTGCTGGCGCCCCGGAAAGTCATTTCCTTCAGTGGCTGCCTCATCCAGTTCTACTTCTACTTTTCCCTGGGATCCACCTCCTTTCTCATCCTGGCAGACATGGCCCTTGACCGCTTTGTGGCCATCTGCCACCCACTGCGCTATAGCATCTTGATGAGCTGGGCCGTGTGTGTCCGGCTGGCAGGGGCCGCCTGGGCAGCTCCTTTCCTGGCCATGGTGCCCACTGTCCTCTTCCAGGCCCATCTCAATTATTGCCACGGCAATGTCATTAACCACTTCTTCTGTGACAATGTGCCTCTGCTGCAGCTGTCCTGCTCAGACACCAGTCTGCTGGAATTCTGGGACTTCCTGATGGCCTTGGCCTTTGTCCTCAGCTCCTTCCTGGTGACCCTCGTCTCCTATGGCTACATCGTGACCACTGTGCTGCGGATACCCTCGGCCAGCGGCCGCCAGAAGGCTTTCTCTACATGTGCGTCTCACCTCACCCTGGTCTTCGTTGTTTACAGCACCACTATCTTCCTATACATCAGGCCTGGCAAGGCACACTCTGTGGAGGTCAACAAGACCGTAGCCTTGGTGACGTCCGTCCTCACTCCCGTCTTCAACCCCTTTATCTTTACCCTCCGCAATGAGACATTCCAGGCGGTGCTGCGGGGACAGATGCAGAGACTGAAAGGCCTCCACAAGGCACGGCAGTGAGCCCGAGGGGCGCAGCCAGGCTCAGTCAGGGGTTCTGGGAGGAGGCAGAGGAGCAGCTGGGTGGGAAGGCCACTACCCAGTTTCTTTAGATTTTTTTCCTCTGTGTTCTGAGCGATCGCCACAGGGAGTCCTCTGCGCCATCCTATCCCAGCCAAAGCTCTCCCAGATCACAGGGAGGGGCTCCCCACTCCCCCTGGCAGCTGCAGGGGCTCTGAGAGCAACCCAGAGTCTGGGGAGCCAGCAGTGGGGCTTTCGAGAAAAGAAAGTGCATGGGCTCCCCATTCAAGGTGTAGCAGCCAGGCCCTGTTCTCTGATCAGGGGACATCCAGCCCCAGGGGGTGTGTGTGTGCGCGAGCATGTCTGTGTATCCTCGTGTGTGCCCGGGTGTCTCAGTGTCTCTGTGTGCCTCTGTATGTCTGTATGTCCCATGTGTGTCGGTGTCTGTGTGTGCCTGTGTGTGTCTCTGTGTGGGTGTCTCTGTGTGTGTCTCAATGTCTCTGTGTGTTTGTCTCTGTGTGTGCCTGTGTCCCTGTGTGTGTCTCTGTGTGCCTCTGTGTGTGTCTTTGTGTCCCCATGTATGTCTGTGTGTGCATGTCTGTGTGTGTGTCTCAATGTCTATGTGTATCTGTGTGTTTGTCCTTGTGTGTCTGTGTGCTTGTGTCTCAATGTCTATGTGTGTCTGTGTGTTTGCCTGTGTGTGTATCTGTGTGCCTGTGTATCCTTGTGTGTGTCTCTGTGTGTGTCTGTGTGTGTCTATGTGCCCATGTGTTCTCATGTGTGTCTGTGTGTGTCTCTGTGGGTGTGTCTCAATGTCTATGTGTGTGTCGGTGTGTCTCTGTGTGTCTGTGTGTCTCAGTGTCTCAGCATGTGTCTGTGTGTGTGTGTAAGCCCATGAGGTCCCATTTTCCATTTGGAATGGAACATGAACTCCACCTCTGCACTTCCCTCCCCCAGCTGAAATGTAAAACATCCTCCAGTTACTTCGTCCTCAGCATCACTGCATTCTCTTACCTTTCACCTATCCTGGCTTTCCCAAAAGAGCCCGATTTAAACTACTCTGCCAAATTCCTTCTGCAAATACTCTTTAGTTTACCAACCACATTTCCCAAAAAGCTACGGTAGCTTCACTTACCAAGAAAGTACTACGAGTACCACTTACTTTAAGACAACAAATCTTTTAATTTACCACAAAGTCACACTTTTTAAAAACCTAGAACGTGGAAATAAACAAGGCAGGGCACTGTGGGCTCATTTGGTGGAGACAGAATCCCTCCCTTTGGACCCGGGGCTCACTGGTATGGTGGCCTGTGGTACATACTCCGGTGTCACCCCAGGCTAACCCCTTCCTCACCAAGGTGCCCCTTTCTCTGGCTTTCTCAGGAGTCTGTGTCTTTCTTGCTGAGATGCTCCTCGCCAAAAGGAGTTCACTTTAGGTCAAAAATTGTGTCTCCTGCAATTACCCATCAGAGCCATGACTCTGCACTTTGCTGTTGCAACCAACAGATTTAAATTCTCCAATCATTCTCTGCTCACCACCTCACAGAGGAAATATTTGTAGAATAAATGCAACAGTGGTGAAGAAATTAAAAATAATTCTACTGATCATATATACCTTAGCTTTGTGTGTGTGTGTATATAAATTTTTTTCACACTTTATGCATGTTTTCCATCTGGTTTTATCCTCGCAGTAATTCAATTGAATAAAGATTCACTGATGACTCACCATGAGCAAAGCAGCCCTCCCCAGCACTGGCCATTAAAGACAAAAGAAGGGTGGGCTCTAACCTTAGTGTCTCTGCCTGTGAGAGGGGGGATATAGTGCAGTTAATTCTCACACGTTATGGGGAGGGGCTTCCCTACTCGGAACAGGTGCCCCAAGAGCCCAGGAGGGAAATGCTGATTCTTGGGCTGTAGCCTGGCAGTGTCTCTGAACCCTGCATGGCTCAGTTTGAAGGGAAACAGAGAGGGGAAAAGAGCTGGTCAAAGTGATGGCGGAGCTGACAGTAGAATCTGGTCCTTATTAGTGCATATCCATCAGTCCCCATTTAAAAAAAAAACTGTAGACTCATAACAGCAATAGTTTAAGTAACTCCTTTGTAATAGTGATTGTATGTTTAATAGCCTCACTCGAAAGAAACACATACATTTCTAAAGACAACTATAGATCCAGCGTCACTTTTAAAGATTTGTATTTTATCAGAATAGTATTCACAAACATTTGAAGAATGGCAAATAACATTTATACAGCAAGAAATATTTTTATCCAGTGTGTACACAATGTTAATTGTATGATGGCGTCACGATTTCTTTACTATCACACCATTTTACCCAGGAGGTGGGGACAATTGATCTTACTGTTAGCCTACACCAAGTGATTTGTATGAGGTCATTGGACAAAAGGAACAGTCTCCCCCAGAAGTAGCTTACACCAGGACACGACTGTGGGGGCTCAGGGCAAGATTGTCTGTAACACCCAGAACTAATTTAAATACAGGTAGAGTCCGAGGTGGGGTGTCATGACTCTAAATGCCTGCCCTGCCCTTGCCCTGGCTGGCGTGGCTCAGTGGATCACAGCATCAGTTCAATCCCCGGTCAGAGCGAGTGTGGGAGACAACCAAGTGATGCTTCTCTCTCTCTCTCCCTCCCTCTCTCTCTCTCCTCTCCCCTCCTCTCCTCTCCTTTCTCCCTCAGCAATAAAACAGTGTCCTCAGCGAGGATAAAAAATAAGTAAATGAAATGCCCATCTTCCTCTCCCACCGTCCATTTGTCTGGCATTCCAGACTCAGAGATAGAGCATTCTAGTAAACTACCATTAGGAAGACAGCATTTTGAGCAGCTAACACAAGTATCCATCGTCACACACAGAAGTCCCAGTGGGAATCCAAAGAGTAGATTCATTACTTCCAGTTGGGAGGACTAAGGAATATGAAATGTTTTGGTGAAGGAAGAGAATGGGATCAAAGCACTTTTCCAAACAAAGTCAGCCCTGGTCCTGCCGTAGCCCTGCGTACGTAGGGTGGTTAAGAGTTCGATGGAGTGTCAAACCCTCTAAGGCCAAGGTAGCAAATCTCAGTGTTGCTGATGGAGGACCATGGTCCTATCAATTTAGTTCACCAGTTCTCTCTTTTGTTGTTTTTTCTTTGCTTCTAAATTTTTATTGAATTTATTGGGGTGATATTGGTTAATAAAATTATATAGGGAAAAGGCAAAGGGATTAAGGAAAAAAAGTTCACCAATTCTTTAAGCTTTAAATTTCCTGGTATAAATATAATCCTTGCAATAATGCTAAACAGTCACAGAAGAAAGGTGGTAGATCCAGTGGTCTGCTGGTAAATGTTTAACTCCCAGCTCTCCAGCCATAGTATTGGCTGACTTCTGGCCTCTGCCAAGGCCCGTGGTGCCAATAAGCCCAGCATGCCCACTCAGACAACCAACAGGAGACCACTGAACTTGGAGTTGGGACAAGATGTTCAGCAGCATACCATTCTACAGTATTTACACTATACTTATGCAAGTGACACAGACAGCTTCACAGCAAAGATAAAGGTGAAAAGTAATCAAATAATTAGGCGTTTCAAGCATTTATTACCTTTGGTTTTTAGTATCATCTATTTGATTGTAAGTTTCTATTATTTATTTTAACAATGGCCATGGCTAATTCCTAAACACTGAATAATCAGTTCTCAAGAGGACTCCAGGATACCCCTAGAGCAACCTGCCTCTGGCTTCTCCCTCAGATCCTGTTACCCCTTCAGGCCAAAATCTTCGTTATCTCCCTGGTGGAATTCCCCTTTGATGGACTTATTCCTCAATGGTTTCTGAACTTACTTAGGTCATTTTCAAGATCGAAGACAATAAAATTCCAGCAATGAAGGTAGACAGCACCTTTTGTGAACACAATAGAATCGGCCCAGCGTGGAAAGGTTTTCACATCCCTGCCCACTGTACCCACCATGAGGTTTGGTGGGCTCAGACATGTGCTGAGATTTCAGTGAGCGAAGCACCCTGCAGGGGACACTGGCAGATCCCGAGAGACGCCGATCTGCTGAGTGGGGATACCCACGCCTACTCTCCAGAAAGCACATTCATTAACACTACCTCCCCAGCCTTTTGTTGCCTACGCGGTGCATCATGTTTATGTCTATACTATTTTACACATTCGATTGCCTCTCTCTGAGATCCACTTTTCCCCACCTCAGCCGGTGAAGTTGCTCTTCATACTCTGAAGCTCAAATCAGACGACACCATGCTTGGGAAGACTTTCCATTTAACCAAAGAGAATAAGGCACTTCCTCCTTGTATTCCCAGAATGCTTTGCATACGATAGTAACCAACACAGTTTTGTTTTTCCGCACTACATTATGCGCCCTCAGGGCAGGCACCATGGCTTACAGACCTTTGTATGCCCTGTGCCTGGAACATAGTTGATATTCAATAAATGCCAGCTTTCTGCAGTTATGAGGTTTGGAGATGAATATGAATGAACACTGTAACCTAAAAAACACGGCATGCCACCTTAGCTGACAGTAACAGAAGTGTAATAAATAAAGCACAAAAGGAAGCTTTTCCATTGCACTCTGTCTCACTCAGCTGTCTGACCTAGCACCCGTTTCAAGACCCACACACCAACAGGGACAAGAGGAAGCAATGTGGATGGTGAGAGGTCTAGAAGTTGTTCAACGGCAACATCTCACTCGTGAATCTGAACATTTTGTAAGGGGACATGTAGCTGTCTTCGCTGTTTTGCTGGTCTGCCTGTGTAACTCAGAATTGCAGAACTTGGACAGTGAGTGGATATTAGAGTTAGTCACTCTGAAGTTGGGCACAAGGGTTTCATCTTAAAATTTAGAATTGTGCAGCAAAGAGTGGGCCTGCCTCACAGCTGGGGGCGCTCCAACTGTGGACTTGGCTCGAGCGAGGCTGCCACGCCCACCTGAGGAGTGTATTGGAGTGGGGATGCCTGCCTGCAGAGGAGGTGCGCCTGCATGATGTACTTACAA